CCCTCTCTCCGTTAAGTTGCATTTGTTGAAGTATTTCACAGCAGCAGATAAAAGAAACTAAGACTATTTAATTATTTATTTTTAGGTTTGGGGGATGAACACAGGGCTTCAACCTGTGAGCACCCTACCACTGAGCCACCTCCCCAGACCAACACGTTTAACTTTCCAGAGTCACTTCACCTGCTGGCCAGTGACACACAAGCATTCTCTACGTCTTCAGTGTCTGTAACTGCCTATCTTCTATCATAAACATTTTCATGCACGAACTAACTCTGGGGACTCCAGTGGCATGACTGTTCTACCTGTTATGAAACTGTCCATTCAAATCTCTTTGTCGTCTCTAATGGCTCCTTGTGGAATCAAGAGATTCTCACTCTCTCATACATTTTTTATCAGACTTGACTTGGGACAGCAGTCTTGGGTTCATAGGGAAACTGAGCTGAAGTCATGGAAATCATCCATGTGCCTTCTGCCATGCATGCATAGCCTCCCCAGGATGAGTACCTGTCAGTGTGGACATTTACTACAATCAGCGAGTCCTGGTAATGGGTCTTTACCCTCTGCACTTCATAGTTTTCTCAGGGGCTAACTCATAGCATCAATTTGTAAATTTGTAGCATGCATCCCCCTCTGCAGCATCCTGTTGCTTGTGTCCCCAGCCCTAAGATGACCTGTAAGTAATGCTTCAATGTTTATTTTTATTTACTGATATCATTTTAGATTACACGTGTATGTAAGATGCTGTGAAGGTTTAGAGTCTGCCTTTCCATGTCTGGCTTATTTCACTTAACCCAATATCCTCTCCCCTTTATTGTGGCTGAATGGTCCTCCATCATATATATGTGCATGACACATGTGCATATGTCTATCTATCTGTCTGTAATAGTTTGCCATTATTCTCATATATTAATATACCTTTTAACCCTCATCATAGAAGCTTCTATTTGAAGTAGATGGTGACTAGTACAGTTGTCAGCTCATGATATTGTGTAGTTATTTCTTCAGTATTAGACAATTCCCTCCAAGAGGAATAACAGGGACTGATGAGACTCACATGGCCATAGCAACATTAAATAACCAGTAACCACTTTCTGGGGAAGAGTCAAGCTGGAACTGACTCCAAACTGTGAGGGAAGCTCCAGGGACACTGGAACAGGTCTTTGAGAGACACAATCACCTTTGAGTCTCTCATGTTCCTCTAAGAAACTCCAATACGCTCATTGGTCCTCCAAGCTGAGCTTGTGTGCACCATTTCTCTAGTTTACTCTCACTGCCTCATCTGGGACTTCCAGGTCTTTGTTCTTGTCTTTCTAGAAAGTCACACAAGAGGTGTTTCAATCTTGATGGTTTCCCTATCTTGTCTGTAATGACCATAAGACTGCAGACATGTTTGGGAGTTTGGATTCATTTCTTTTGGGGTACATACATCTCTGCATATATGCAGAGAATTAAAACTCTTCATGGCCTCCCAGTGCCATGAAACACCTTCTTATGGACCACAACATTTGAACACAGCTGACCTCACCAGGCCCTCTTGACTATCCCTCTCTGCCCTCACACCCCAGCTGGTCTTTGATTCATGAGATGTTCTTAAATCTTTGCCATCCCAATTCTTATTCTTCTTTGCCCTGTTTCACCTTTCACACTTTCCTGTTTCTTGGCAGTCCTTAAAGGCTCCAAAGCTACAGAGAACCCCTGTCTCAAAAAACCAAAAAAAAAAAAATTCTCAAAAATAGTTCATCAGAAAGGTCTTTTCTGTCCCCCAACCCACCAACCCAAGCACTCACATTATCGATACTGATGATCCCTACACTTCCTGGTGCAAGCATTAAATGTTCTTGCTAAAACAAACTTGTGTAACCTTAACCCGAGGACTTCACCCAAGTCCACACAGCTGCTGTGAGGTGACTCTGGGATCACGCTGTCCGGCAGAGTGCTTGCTCATAGCTGCAGGGTCAGCCTCATTGTCACTGGCCTCCTCTTCTTGATGGTCTGCATCATGAAGTGAAACAGCTAGGATCTGCTGGGTTGACTCTTATCCATTCACTAATCTTCCTAGTCATTCATCCTTTCTCTCACTGATCCAGCCATCCTCACCCATCTATCCATCCACCCATTTGTCTTTCATCTATCTCACTCGTCCATCTGTCCATCTGTCTGTCCATCCATTCACCCATCATCTACCTCTTCTGGTCTGTTTGTCTAAATAGCTGACTGTCATCATCACCCATCTCTCCTGTCTATCATTTATCTCTCTTATCTAGGGTCTATCATACATCTCTCCATTCTGTTTAGTTATCAAACACCTATCTCTTATCTATCTAATTTTTGAAAACACCAAAAAGTAATGAGCCAGGAAAAAATCTCCTCCATAATCCTATTATTCTAATATCAGGTCTATAAACTTTCCTGTGTGTTTTATTCTGTTCTTATTTTCTACAACCATACATATGTATATTTGAATTTTATGCCTATTTTTACTCTTCAAAATTGCTGCAGAGATGTTCTATGTCATTAGGTACCCTTACAGACTAGTGATTTTTTAATAGTTGTACAGTATTTTGGTTTATGGCTACTCTGTAAAGTCCCGAATGCTCCAGTACTGATGGATACTCACCTTGTGTTTCTAGAATTTTAGCTGCATAGATAACTGATGGAGTTGTTTATATAGAGATCCTGCATACAATAATTTCTTTAAGAAGACTATCGGTATTTCCTGAAGAAAAATCTTTGGAATTGAAACACTACATAAAAGGGAAAGGTCATCTATAATTATTCAATATGAATTCCTAAATTGTCCACAGGGCGGAAAATCCCATGGATGTGTTTTGCCAGCAGCCCTCACTAGGTGAAGGTGCCTTAAAGCATCCTGGAGAGCATGGCCTGAAAGCCCATCTTTATCTGTACCAAGAAACAGGAGGCCAAGCTTGCTCTCATAGGGAGTTGGGCCATGATGTTCACAAGAGAGGTCCTGGATTTGGAAATAGGTCTGAGATCAAGCTGTGCTCTGCTGCTACTCAACCCTGTGAGAGGTAGCTGTGTCCTCTGGAAAGTACCATAATGTCCAAGAAAGAGTCCCAGGTGGGGGCTGGTCAAAGACTGGCTTCTTCCATGCAGTTCTTAGAAAAAAAGGTTTTCTGGATTCAGCAAGGACAGTGAACATGTAGTCAGTCAAGGCTGCAGAAAGAATGGGGACTCCAGATTCCAGCTGCTGGCTGTGCATCCCCAGGATCAGTGTCCTCATCTGTCATATCAATTTAATAAGCCAGTGTCTAGGATGTCTTCAACCCAGCACCTCATGTTTAAACTCAGTATGGATGTTTAAAGAAATGAATTAAACCCTGCATGTGGCACATCGTCCCCCCCCCCATTTAGATCTTTGTAGTATTTAATCAGATCCTCACAGCTCCCACCTGTCAAAATCAATATTGATTTTCCATTTTTTCTGAATAGGGAACTTTCAGAACTTGAAACAAGTTGCCCAAGTTGAAAACCTAAAGAAGCAAAGAGCTAGAGTTGAGCTGGGGTGTTTCTGCCCTGTAATAGTAACTGATTTTCCTGTACTTCAAGGCTCCATGAAAGCTCTTGTGTCTATCTGATCACTGAGCTGTGGCATGATCTGAGCAGATTCTCTGCTTGGAAATATACTATTTGAAACTTATCAAAAGTATCCACCCTTGGGCTACCATCACCATCAGGACTGAGGTTAGTACCCCTAGCTAGTTTTTCTCACCCCCAGACCCTACATCCACTCATCTGAATTCACTATTAAATGTCCTCATTGCCTTTAAGAGGGGGGAGTGAATATCTCTTTAAGAGATGGGTGAACACATAGACATAAAGGTGGACAGGATCAAGAGGGAGTGGCTTGTGAGATCATGACAAGCCTGTTCAGAGGAGCTCTGGGAACCTTAGAGGTGCAGCTAGCATTGAGAAAACTCTCAGCTTTTGAGGGCAATGTGTGGACACCTCTTGGGGGCAGCCCAAGGGAACATTCTAGAAGGAAGCAACAGGTTAGACTTGGGTTGTCACAAGAGACCCATAGCCTGCCTGATCTTTGGACATCTCTGGTTCTCATAGACAGCCAGGGTGTGCTATGTTTGGAACTCACTTTGGGTTCCAAAGAAACCATGGGCCCTGAGGATCTGAAGGAAGAGATGGAGGAAGATTAGGATCTACAGTAGAAGCCACATTGTAGCTGGGAAGCAGAGAGCAAAGAGAGGGGACTTGAAGGCAAACAGAGACAAGACTTGACCCTTCTTCTCTGGGCTGTGGGAGTGACAGTTGGTCATCAAAGAGGATAAGGCTTCAGGGAGGCACAGGTGTCAGATGGCCCTAGGGTGCATGGCCTTGTTCACGCTGTGTGCACAGCCAGTGTCCTCACACCATGCACACCCCACTCTAAATACAGGAAGCAGCCTGTATTTAGACTTTTCTTTTAATCTTGAAAGGGAAGAAAACAGTGGCAAAGACTTCCTTATCCAATCCTAATTCGAGCTGAATTCAAAAAATGTGGAGTTGATGCATGTGACACTAAAGTTGTTACAAGTACAGAGATGGAAAACCATCTCCCCTCTTGTTTCCACTCATAGCCCCCAGCTTGATACAGAATTTCTGTATTTAAGCTACTGCGTGGTACGCAGAGCATTTTATGATGAGGACCACTCTTTCTTACAAGGCTGGAGCCAGGAGTTTCCTTCAGCCAGGGGTCTGCCTCTCTTTGAAGCGCAGGGCCTCGTGGTAGCTGACTGGCTGTGAGAGGAGACTTAGTCTGGAGCTGTGTTAGTGCCTTAACATTGCTATGAGAAAACATCCAACAAACACAGCTTGAGGAAGAGAGATTTTAGTACTTGGGACTTTGGAGGAATTTTCTAGATCCAAGTCACCGTATCTCTTTGGTTATGACCATATTCAGATGCAAGACAGGAACCAGAAGCCAGAAAAGGGACGTTCATACACAAAGCATCATACACTCAGAAAGAAAAGCTGCATCAACTTACCCCAGGTTAACATGTTCCTAACCCAGAGGATGTAGTATGTGTTATCCTTGTCCCAGAAAGAAGAGAACAGACCAGCAGTTCATCTTCTGGGCCTTGGCACCATTCAAACAGAAGCTCTGAGGGAGGGTTAGATTTGTGAAATGGATCCAAAGCCAGGCTCACTCTGCAGAGATTGAACTTGGAGTGTCTTTCTCTTTTGGTCCCTTGCTGTCTCCATCCATGCTGGCTGACCACCCAAGGTCTACAGTGGGATGAAAGGACACGGAACAGCCTGGCCCTAGCACCTGCCAAAAGCAGCATCATGGGTGACATCAGAGTGCAGAGTGCATTGATTCCCAAAGCCCAGCTGAGAGAGGATGGTCTGAAGCTCAAATCCCCCCAGGGGCCAAAGCCTGGAGAAATGAAGACTATAGTCATGGGAATTTAGGTCTTTCCAAGTTAAAGGTTCAGAACTCCTAAAACACTAATGTGTCTGGTTGATTGTGCTCCTCTGTCTCGGCTTAAAGAGTCCTTCATTCCTGGAGCATCTGGGAGTCTGGAGACAGTCCTGATTTCCCTTCACTGTGATTCTGTGGTTTCTTTGGGGCTGGAGGAGCCACTATGGTTCTAGGCCATTATCTTATGAGCTTCATGTTATTTAAAGAGTTGAAAGAAGTAATAAAATAAGTCAGCTTGACTAGTACAAGATTGGTACAATTCCCCAAAGCAGCAAGAGTTGAAAACATCCCAATGTCTAATCTATCTTTTTAATTTATTACATATATTCGTTCTGGTGGTTTGAATAAAAATGGTCCCCATAGGTGCCACAGGAGTGGCACTATTAGGAGGTGTGGCCTTGCTGGACTAGGTGTGGTTTTGTTAGAGGAAGATGACAGAAGTAGATAGGCTTTGGGGTTTCAGAAGCTCAAGCCAGGCCCAGTGTTACTCTGTCTTCCTGATGCCTGCGCTTCCAGATGTAGAACTCTCAACTCCTTCTCCAGCACCATGTCTGCCTGCATATCACCATGCTTCCTGCTATGATGAAAATGGACTAAACCTCTGAACCTGTAAGCTAACCCAATGCTTTTCTTTGTAAGAGTTGCTGCAGTCATGGTGTCTTTTCACACCAATAGAAACTCTAACTGAGACATTCACTGTGTGTGGGGAGGAGGGGTTCCACGCTACTGCACATACATGGAGGTTAGGGGACAGCTTGCAGGAGTTAATTCTTTCAGTTCACCATGTAGGTCCTGGGGTTGTAACTCTGATGGTCAATCTTGGCTTTGCAGGAAGTACCTTCACCCACTGAGTCATCCCACTGGTTCTAACACCTAACATCTTAATGTGTTCTCCTTACTCCTTCCAGGAAAATGATATTTCTGGAACCCAGTTCTTGCTTTCCCCAAAGACTCTTGCAGCTGTCCTGTACCAAGGGCCTTGGGTAAACCCTATTCTAATGCTTCACATTGTCTAGGCTGCTTATTGCAGTGTCACAGCCACAGAGGTGACAAATTCAAGCCACTCAGACACCATCTTCCAGTGGGGACAATGAAGACAGCACTCTGTGAATCACTTAGCCTGCTCCCTCTTCACTTTTCATGCTGAACGGGAAGGTCTCACCTACCTGCTCAGAAGGAGGAGGCCACCTTTCCAGTCCACAGAACCTGCTCCCTGCTCATCTTACTCCAGCCAGCATGTCCTAACAGGTTTTTTCAGTCTGGGGATCCCATGGTAGATTGTACCCTCCAGTTATAAAGCTGCTTACAAGCCTCTGGTCTCTACATGGGTCTAAGTTTGACAAAAAAAAAAAAAAAAAAGAAAGAAAAAAAGAAAAGAAAAATGTTCAGAAGACCAATCTCCGCAGCTTTCATAGCTCACAGGTCTGTGGACTTACACATCTGGACTGTACAATCATTTCTCAGCTTCTCATCCACAAACAAATTCGCTATCCCTCATCTGTTTCTCTTTATTATTGAGGTAAGCAGCAGGCCCTATCCTGGGTGAGAAGGCTTTGTTCCAATCTTTGCTTCTGCTGGCCCTGTTCAGGAACATCAGTGCCTATGCTTGTATCCAGAAGACCTGAACCCAAGCATCTGCTTGTATGCAGGGCCTCTGCACCACAGACCCTAGGCCCTGAACCTACATGCATGCAGGGCCTCTGCATCACAGACCCTAGCCCCTGCACCTGCATGTATGCAGAGCCTCTGTACTGCAGACCCTAGCCCCTGTACCTGCATGCATGCAGAGCTTCTGAACTACAGACCCTAGCCCCTGCACCTGCATGCATGCAGAGCCTCTGCACCACAGATCCTAGCTCCTATACCTGCATGCATGCAGAGCCTCTGCATCGCAGACCCTAGCTCCTATACCTGCATGCATGCAGAGCCTCTGCATCACAGACCCTAGCCCCTGCACCTGCATACATGCAGAGCCTCTGCATCACAGACCCTAGCCCCTGCACCTGCATGCATGCAGAGCCTCTGCATCGGTGGACCAGGTTCCTGTATTTGCATATGTCCAGGGTCCCTGTGCCTATTGGGCTTCTTTTAATTTCCTGAAGCTTCTGTCTCCTGGATATAAGCACTTCAAGGTCATGGTGCCTCCAAAGCTACCTGTGACTGCCAAGTGCTCATGCCTTGTCTATAGCCAGCATGACTGGCATTGCTTGCCAGGCCCCATATGGTTGACATCTGCTCAGGTCACCTACAGTGACCATGTGCCCTTCACAAGGTTCTCGAAATGCCTAGTTTTCTTTTGCTTCTAGCTATTCATATGGCCCATGGGCCCCTTTGCAGCAAAAGATGTGCCATTTGCTTTTATAGAAAGTCTCTTTTCTGTGGGCAATGACTTCATAAGCTGCGGTCACTCACTAAGTAGAATGGCATCATACCCTAAGACTCACAATCCTTCTCCCAGCTCTGAAAGCTAAAATTCAACTATGGAACTACTTTGATCCACCTGACCTGTCTAGCTCCTTGAGAACACCAAGGTCAAACAGCTCACCAATTCAAGGCAGGGTCCACTTTCCTGGCCCCAGCAAAGTTGCCACCACACCAGGTATGTATAAGACCAGAGATGGCTCAACCATCCAAGCAAGTCTCTACTGTCACCATTCTTGCCTGTGATCTAAACAGATGAAGTAACAAAGGAAAGATGGGTAGAGGCTGGAATGGCCATCGTCACTGATAGTGGGGAAGTTGGGGGATGATGAGGTACACAGAAGTGGGAACTGGATAAAGTTGATTTAGAGTTGTCTGACATGAGCAGCGATCACCCAGCCATGAGCAGTTACCTCCTCCTCAAAGGCCAGGGCATGGGAGGGAACAGAGAAAAACAGAAACTCACCCTGAATGGCAGATTTCAAAGGGACCAACAATGGCTGGATTTCTCCAGATGTTTCCAGTTAGTCCTTCCCAAGGAAGAGGCATCAATAGAAGGGCAGTGAGAGGGGTTCAGGAGATGAGTCAGTGGACACAGTGCTTGCTGCATAAGCATGAGTCCCCAGCACTCACATAAAAACCACATACAGTGGTATGTGTCTGTAACTCCAATGCTGGGGGCATGGGGCGAGATGCTGGGGCTTGCTGGCCAGCCAGTCTATTCAGAACGGCAAGGTCCAGGACATCTTAGTCAGTAAGAATACCCTGTCTCAAAAAATAAGATGGGGAACGACAGAGGAGCACACCTGGTGTCCACCTCTTCCGTCCTTGTGTGCAGACGTAGGTAAGTACAGCCCCCTAACACACACATGTACACACATACATTACACACGCACATACACTAGAGAGAGAGGACTAGCACAAGTGCCATGAATGGAATTAAGTCTTCCTTTTGTGAGGACACAGGGGGAATGTCCCAGAAAAAAAAACAAAAAAAACTTCTTGAATCCGTGAAGGGATCCAAAGCAAATGGCACTGTCCTGTCTTCCCTGAGAAGTGTCACTGATAGTCTGCTCAGGAAGATGATGTGTGCTGTACTTTAAAGTCCAAACCTGCAGGTGGACACCTGGGTCCATCCCTGCCACCCTGGTCTTCCTATCTGGGTTCTGGGTAAACAGATGCAGAAAAGGTTTTGGACCTGTTTGTGGACATTTCAGTGACCCGTCGCTTCCTGAGCCTGTATTTGATGATGAACTCTGAAAGAGGAAGGAGCAGGGATTGAGAGATGCTTAATGTGCCCAGAGGAGTTCCTGATTGAACAGATAAGGTAGGCATCTTTCTGGGACTCAATCATCAAAAAAAGTAACCAAATTAATAATCGTCAGTGTTTACAGTGACGATGGTGGGTAAGGCATGGCAGCATTGCTCTGTCTGTGGAGGCGACAGCATGAAGTGGAGGCTTGCGAGAGGCAGAAAACAGGAACCAGAGGTTGGGTGTTACCTCTAAAAGCTCTCCCCAGTAATCTCCTTCTACCAGCCAGGCACCAGGTGAGCTCAACCAGTAGCCATGGACTGTACCCTCTCAGGACAGCTATGAACGCCTCCCACAGCAGAATTAAAACTTACTGAAAGCATTATGAATTTTTTATTTTTTTAATCTTAGGGTAAGGAATTTAATTGCAGTGGTTCTCAGTGTGAACTTTGTGGATGAGTGTCAGTCGTAATACCAAAAGGTAAGACACACCCATAAAGTGTCACAGCCTTCCTCAAAATAACACAGGCATCCAAATTATGAGCCTGTGGAGGATGTTTCAGATTCAAACCACAACAAGGAGTTTAAGCATGACCTCATGAGGAGAATGCACCTTCCTACCCCCTCCCCGCCCTCCCCCCGGCTCTGAGAGTGTGGAAAAGAAATAGATGAAAAAGAAATTGGGATTATTTTTGATGCTCCATGTGAGAGTGAGGGAAGAGACTCCTGAGTGATTCTGGGTTTCTTGTGTTAGCTTTGAGATGAAGCATGGCCCCTTCTCTCAGAGCACACCCAAGCAGCATAGACATCTTCCCACAGAGCCCCATGCCCTCCAGTGGCATCTGATTTGGGGGCTTCCATGCCTCCTTCGGTCTACCCGAACCCTGGTGAGTTCATCAGATTCAGAGTGTGATGTATTCAGCAAAGCTGGAAGGGTAAAGGCATCTAAGCCCTTTGAAATCAGACATGGAGCTACAGGATTTGGAGTTTGCCATGCTGGGTTTTAGTCTTGCTTTGGTCTAGTATCTCCTCACTATATCCCTTTCCCCCCTTTTGGAATGTTAATGTATATTCTGTGCCATTGTATATTGGAAGTATGCAATTTGCTTTTTGATTTCACAGGAGGGTTGCAGTTAATAGATTGCCTTGAGTCTCAGAAGAGACCTTGGACTTTGAAACAGCATTGAGACTGAAAGACTATGAGGATTTTTGAAGTTGGACTAAATGTATCTTGCCTTATGATACGGCTCTATGTCTTTGGGAACAAGGAGTGGAATATGGTTTGAATGATAAATGCCCCCATATTCTTGGGCACTTGAATGCTTGGTCTTCGGTTGGTGGAACTATTTGGGAAGGATTAGGAGGTGTGGCCTTCCTGTATGAGGTGTGTCACTGGGGGCAGGCTTGGAGTTTTCAAAACACTTTTACCATCTCAAATTTACTCTCTCTGTCTCTTGTTTGTGGTTTGAGATGTGAACTCTCAGCTACTGCTCCAGTTGGCTGCTGCCTGCTACCTCTGCTCCCCCCTGCTACCTCTGCTTCCCCATCAGGGACTATTATCCCTCTGGAACCATAAACCAAATAAACCCATTTTTCCATACATTGTCTTGGTCATGGCATCTTATCACAGCAATAGGAAAGTAACTAAGACAGATGTCGTGTCTTCATCCATTAGTGTCTTCATGAGGAGAGAAGGGCCAGTGACAGGGCATCCTTCAGCAGGTTGTTGCAGGAAATGAAGAAGTGTGTGGGCAGAATTCAGATCAGCAAAGTAATTATTATTCAACAAGCCTGCACTATTTAAAAGATTACCAATTCTTTGATAATTTCATACAACACATTTTGATCATATTGACCCACAAGTCCTCACCCTAGCTCCTTTCACCTCCATGCTCACCTCCTGACCCTCACCCACAACTTCATGTCCTCTTTAAAATCGAACCTAATTCATGCTTCCTGCATATCCCTGGGTGTGGGGACATCCCCAAGAGTGTTTACCAGGGTCCACATCCTTGAAGAAAACTGACTCTTTTCCATGGAAGCCATCAACTATTCCTAGCTCCTGCAGTAGAGGTGGGTTCTCACGAACCCTCTCTCCTTTGTGTTGGAACATTGATGGGCTTGATCTTGTGTAGATCTTGTTCAGACAACCAAAGATACTGTGAATTCATGAGTACAGCATCCTCTCTTGTCCAAAAACTGTTTCTTCCCAGTCATTCTTGGCCTCTTGCCCTTAAAATCTTCCCATCCTCTCTCCTGAGATGGTCCTTGAGCCTTGGGGAGAAAGTGCGGTACAGATATCCTGTTTGTGGCTGAGCACTTCATTGATGTTCATTTTCTTGAACTTTGACCACTGTGTTTCTTTGTGAACACTGTCTGCTGCACAGAGAAACTTCTCTGATGAGGTACGAGAGGTGCACTGATCTGTGGAATCTCAGCTCTCGGCACAGCCCCCTAAAGTGCTTCATAAATACATGTAAAATGAATCAACAATTAAATGTGAGGGCAGAGCACCCACAGGAAAATGCATGATGGATGTAAAACCCTGATTAGGGCTTGGGGCTTGGTTCTGCGTGGTTGACCTGATGCTTAACTCTGTTTTAAAGACTGTACTGAATTTTTCAGGGTGGAAGGAGAGGAGGGTTTTCTACAGGCCTTGGGAACAGAATATAAAAACACTCTCAGAGCAGACAGCATGAGTTGAAGGCTGTGGTTCAAATGGGGGAGTAAAGTCAGGAGCCATCAAGTATAGGACTTCGAGTTTAACTGTCTCACCGAGGGCTTTGGCTGGTTTCTGAGGCTATAGAAACGTGGACTTTACTCTCTACTGTGCCAAGGCCTGATGCCCTCCCCTGACACACACATCTTGTCATCACAGCATGTTCTTGGTCTCCACAATGTTTTCATGTCTTCTTTGCTTAATTCCAACACATTCAAGATGGGAATGGCCACAGATATGAAGTTCCAGATCAATTCATTCAGGGGGACCCTGGCTCCCTATCATATCTTAAACACAAAATGAGAAAATAAAAGGCAGTGTTGTGGAGCTCTTAAGAGAGTTCCCTGAGCTGAGAGAAGTGAGAGAGAAGCAGGTGAATCCCTGGGAGTCATCAAGGTCCCTGATGCAGGACAGCCTTTCAGCAGCACATGAATGCATATTATCCCTGTCTGTCAGAGAAAACCCAGTCTCGGTATGAATTGGCATGGACAGTCTAGCCCTGGATCCCACATCCAGTCAATCTAGACCCCAGGAGAGTGTAACAACACCTCAAAGAATGGACATTACCTGCAAAATTCTTGGGTTTGCAGTCCTGATGGGTACCAGGCTGCAAAAACAGGCATTTTATCTGTGTTCACCTTTATGCCTGCAGATTTCAACAAGTCAGATAGCCTTTGAAACCAAGGAAGCAGGGAACTAACTCTGGCAGTGAATCTGTAGACTGTCTTCCTTCTCAGTTGCTTCTATCATTTTCCCCTCGTGGACACGTCAGCTCTCTCCCTCTCAGGGTCTGCAGAGCTCCATCCCCACTGACCTCCCTCCTCACCTTTTCTCTGTGTCTTCCAGCTTTTATTCACCCCACATTCCCCATCAAGTGATCCCCTTTGTGTCTCTCCAGCAGCTCAGTAGAGGAGAAATTGCTTAGCACGTTATATGTGGAGAAATTTCCTCCAATGTCCTGGCTCCTGTGCCCGCTGTCACAGGCAACCATCCTCCCCCCTTGAATATCATTTATCAGTTTCATCTTTATAAGGACCAGGATGCATATTCACCAGGCTAAAGATCTCTGATAAGAGTCGCTTCCCAATTTTTCACATTTATTAGCTACCTCACATTCTGTGTGCTCAGACCCTTCCAGGTTCTGTGGGTACATGCTACTCAGATTGTACTCATCATGTGTATGTGTGTATATATGCCACGTGTGAGCACATGCCCACAGAAACCAGAAAAGGGAGTTTGGCCCGCTGGAACTGCAGTTACAGACAGTTGTGGACCACCTGACATGGGTGCTGGGAACCAAACTCAGATCTTTTGGAAGAGCAGCAAGCATTCTTGAGCACTAAGCCATCTTGATTTTAATCACATCTTCATGATAGACTTATCTTCAAACCTCACAATCCCATGCTGAGGACAACATCTAACCCACATGATTAGATGAACTCATCTAGAAGGGTGCTCATTGCAGTATTTACTCTGAGTAATGTTTTAAAGCATCAAGAATTTTGGGTACTTGGCAATTGTTTAAAGTGATATACTGCGACTCTGTAACAGAAGAGCTTATAGCTATGAAATATCACAACTTAGAAGACTATTGTTAGGGAAATAAATACTCATAAAACAGGCTACAATATAGCTAGCATATGTTATATAATTCCAATTTCTTAAAAAGAAAAAAAAAAACAACAACTCATGTTCCTGTCTGCAGCTAGTGCTGCACCAAAATGTAGTTGTGATTATTTCTGGGGGAATCAAAACATACTTTGTTTCAGAATTCACATTCCTATCTTTGCTTTTCAAATTTTGCTCATGAATATATTTTTCTATTAGCTCTCAGAAAAGAGATAATAAATACTGTCGAAAACATGCTAAAATGTAAAAGGAATAAACAAGCTGGCAAATAATGCCTGAAACATAAAGACAAGATATTAATATATTTAATCTAGAAAGAGAGCTTATAAATTAATGAAAAATAATTCCAATATGTACCCAGGTAAAGACAGCAAACAGAAAACACATTCATAACAAAAATCCACAGCTGAAAAGGATGTTCAAGTAGCTAATAAATGTGAAAAGGATTTATTTCCATGAGTAAACCAACAAGAGCAGTGGAACAAAAGATGTGTGGGATTTTTGCAGGTCGGCACAGTGCAGCACAACACATGTACACATGTATATGTATGCTCCTGTGTACAAGCACACACAGGTACACTTGTGTGCACTGTCACACGAGAGTAGGAGAGGATGATGTTGGGAAGAGTGGTTTCAGTGTGAGCAGGAGAGGGTGTAAGAGTCAGCAAGGAAGGCAAAAATGGCAAAAATTCATTATATACATGCATGAAACTGTCAAAGAATTAAAAATAAGACAGTCTCTTACACTGTTCAGCTGTCAATCTTGAATGACATTAGTCAATATTGCTGAAGACAAATGACTCAGTTCTTGGTGCCAAGGTGTTGGGAGTCTATATTTACTTATCCCTTTTTTTAGAAAGTCACCCATAATCCTCCTGACACATGATGTCACCAAACCCAACATGGTCTTAATAATCTCCTCTGTGGATGTGTGTGGATCAGTACCCTAAGCAACTGGGTACTGATGAGCAGCGTGTTTTACTTTCCAGCTCTTTTAATGGAGTTTGCAAAGTGTAGGTGGACTTTTCTGTCCTTCCAGCCAATTCCCAAATAACCACACAGAGACTTAATGTTAATTATCAATGCTCAGCTGATAGCTTAGGCCTGTTTGTAGCTAGCCCTTATAACTTAAATTAACCCATTTCTATTCATCTGTGTGCTGCCCCAAAGCTTGTTTACCTCATGTACTTACTTCCCATCCTGCTGCCCATTCTGCATCTCATGACATCTCCTCTGACTCTGTCATTCTTCTTCCCAGCATTCTCTCTTTCCCAAAAAAATCCTGCCTAGTCATTGGCCAATCAGCTTTTTATTAACCAATGAGAGTCACACATATGTACAGTGTAAGAAAAGATTATTCCACAGCAGTGAAGATAGTTTGGTTCCTGTTGCTGTGATAGAACACTGACCAAAGCAACTTTGGGAAGGAAAGGGTTTATTTCGTCTTCCAGCTCTCAGGTCATGCTCCATCAATGAGGGAAGTCAGAGCAGGAACTCAAGACAGAAATCCGGAAGCAAGAACAGGTGTGCTGCATACTGTCATGCTCCTTATGGCTTCTTCAGCCTGCTTTTTTATACAACCCAGGGCCACCCGCCCAGAGTTGGCACCACTTCCCCTGAGCCCTTCCATTTCCATCATCAGTCATGACAGTGCCTTACAGATATGCACACAGGTCACTATGATGGAAGTAGTTTCTTAACTAAGTTTTCCTCTTCCCGGATGACTCGAGTTAGTGCTGACAATGACAAAAAAAAGGACAAAAATAACAGATAGAGATATGTGTAGACATAGATATAGGAGAGATTCTAAAGCCATCAGAATAACATTTCCCATAGATACTAATAAGGGAGCCATGGTTTGTGATCAATGAGAACAGCTTAGTACCACAGTCTCTTTGACATGTTCCAACTGAGTAAAACATCAGAGACTCTGCATTCAGGGATTGTAGCAGGCTCTGCAGTGGGCAAGACTACTATCTGACGGTACCAGCAGCTTTCAATAATTCCAATATTCAGATGCAGGAGGATAAGGTGTTCAAGGCCAGCCTAGGATACATGAGATTTTGTTTCAAAAATCAAAAGAAGGCCTGGGTAGATGGCTCGGCGGATTAAGTATTTTCTGCATGAGACTAATGACCTGAGCTTGGATCCCAGGGCCACTTAAAGGTGGATGTGGCAGTGCACCTGTGATTCCAGCACTCCTACAGAAGGAGAGGGAGATGGAAAAACTCCCAAAGCTTGTGGGCCAGCTACCTTGAGAATGCAGTGGGAACAAGAGACCCTGCCTCAAATAATGAGGGGGAAAAATCAAAACCCAAGCTTGTCTTCCAGGCTGGCACTGTGGCATGTGCATACACCTGCACTTATATGAATACACACACACACACACACACACACACACACACACACACACACACACACGCATGCACACTTAACACACGCACTTACACAAAAGACAGAGACATAGTTTTGAAGAGGAGGCAGAAAGAGGAGGGGAGGAAAGAAGCTTCCTGTCTCAGTGAGACAGGGGCATGACTTTTTCCCCCTTTCTTCAAAATTGGAATTATATGATATCTGTTGCATCATAGCCTGCTTTGCTCAATATATCTATGACAATATCCTTAAACTGGGTACTTACAGAAAAAGAAGATAGTTGACTTGCTCCACAGTTCTGGAGACTCAGAGGTTGGTGTTCAGCTCTGTGAGGACCTCACAGTGATTGACATCACAAGGACAGCATGGTGATTGGCATCTGTGGAAGGAAGGTTCAGGGCAGACACAGGGCTCTCTTATAAAACTATCCTGAAAGGAACTAATTTAGCCCCACAAGACCTAACCCTTGCCCAGGAGGTAACACCAATCCATTCATGAGGGTGGAGGCTCCATGACCTAACCACCTTCCAGCAGTCTTCCTACATGCTCTCCATGTTCACATCGTCACATTGGGAACCAAGTGCTCATAACACAACATCTTGAGTGGCAAACTCTATCCAAACCCTGTTTCTTTTTAGAACATATCTGCAGAATTTAATCCCATTAATTAATGGCCTAAGGTTGTGACTTCATCTCTCCCCAAGGATCTTTAAGCCTCACATTATCCAGCCATGAGGGGCCTGGTACATATTCTAGATCCATTCTTACAAGTGCTGATGAAAGAACCAGGGACCTGGAGGCCTCGAAGCTGTCCCCTCTGCAGCCTTTCCTCTCCATGGATTCTCATCAACGATGTGTCGGTCAGCTTTCCTTTACTGTAACAAATGCCTGGAGCAATCAGCTTGCAGACAAAAATGGTTGACTTTGGGTACAGGTTTGGAGGTTGCAATTGTGCTTGGTTGGGCCTGTTGATTTGGAGCTGTAGTGAGGAAGCATATCATGGCAGGAAAGGGTGGCAGAGCAAAAGCCACTCACCACCTGACCAGGAAGTGCAAAGAGGAGAGACTAGGGTTCTAGAGACCCCTTATAGGGCACCCCACCAAGTAATGACCAAGAACGTGGGCTTCACCCCTTAAAGTCCCTATCTCTTCCCCACAGTGCCACTCTAGGGATTAAGCCCTTGACATGGGGACCTTGGGACACAGTTCCTATCCATTCCATTGTGCCTGATTGTTGGACTTGTACCTTCCCCCGCTGAACAGGAACCAGATAGGATCTGTGCAAGAAGCATGCATCCATGTTCAGGAAGGATTCTGAGGTCAGCAGCCCTGACTGAGTACTAAGATCATCAGGGAGTACTAAACACCTGCTGTGCCAGCATTCCAGACCTCCTAAGCCAAAGCTTGTTGCTGTGAGACCTGGGTCTCTTGTATCCTCAGTGTTGCCTGGGGAGCTCATACACAGGCAGGCGAGGCTGAGGACAGTTGTACTCACATGGGCACTGAGCTGCTTAAGAGAACAGTTCTGTTACAAGGAAGGCATCTACCATAAACCCACCCTTTGCCTTTTCACATAGGTTATCTAGCATTCTATCTCACTGTTGGGATTGGCTGTCAGACACAAAACTGACATTATGCAGAGTTAAGGAAAGACCTTGGACATCCCAGATGTCTTGAATTCCAGCAGTGTGAAAAACACGAATCACCAAATGGCCCAGCCTTGACACTTGTCACAGTGATGAGATGGCTGGTGTACCCCGCAGCACTGAGCTCAGAGGCTGTCCACGTGATGTTCTTCATCTAGGGGTTCCCAATGAGGAATGGGCGATTATGCCTCCTAGGGGACATCTTCACTGTTGTTTCATATCTTACAGTCCATAGCTCAGGACCCCTCAGCAAAGAGCCATGCAACCATGAAGCCAGGCAATAGGACTGAACCCCACTTTTGCTGCAAGCTATGATGCCATGGTAAACATTGAGAGCCTCTTCTTTCCCAATGTGTTTAGTGTAGCCCTTGACAGAGACCAGAGAAATGTAAAGATGAGCTCAGGTCCCCCCTTGGTGTCCCCACCCAGGACAATGGATCATACATCAGGCAGGACAGTCTTCCAAGGCCAATTTTGATGATGTGAAAAAAGAAGCTGTCATGGAGCCAAGTTCAGTCCTGCACCCCGAGAGCAACAAAGTCCTCCTGAGAAGCCAGACCATGCCATACCAGTCCTTGCTGGCTCTCTGTCTTATCTGCCAACTGTGGAGAGGTGAACCCCACCACAACTACAGCCTAACTGCAGTGTAGAAGCCTCAGCCCCACCTGCCAGGGCCTCAGGGAGGGGATACCATGAGAATCTTATGTCCCCAAGTAAGGAAGCCACAGGCCCAGGAGACAGCCCCACTTATCTCTGCCTTCCATCACCAGGCCAGCCGGGTTACCCACCTTCAAAGTAGGTCAAATTGCCCTAGTAGATAAGGATAGAGACACAGAAACCAGTGGGCAGGAAAACATAGTTTATCTAGTCTAGATAGGGGTCAGATATCCCTACACTGCCCTAGAATCCCAAAGATAGGAGCCACCCCCATAGCAGGCACTGGGGTTGCAAAGTACCTGGGGACAGCAGGGGCTTGGCAATGAAGAGGCTATCAGTCTACCATGGACATCCTAGAAGATTCGGAGATGTCTTTTGCCTTTTCCTGAGCCATCTGAGAAGAGAAAGACAAAGGCTTTGAGGCACTTGGGCTCCTGATGGACCCTGCATCACCTGAGATCTATCACAGATAAGACCACTCAATGACACCTGTTTAACATGGCCACGCCCATAGGTGCAGGGTCCATTGCAATGGAATTTTCCACAGGAAAGAGAATTAGAACTCCACTAGGACTACAGCACAAACACCCTGGAATTGACGGCAAGGTGGGAAATACCTAGGAGACTTCCAGTCAGGCGTTGGAGGCTCTGGCTAGAATGGTGTAGTAGGATTGCCCCTAAAGGCCAGCCAGGATGGGAGATGATCTTAAGTCTGGTAAGGCATGAGGAGAGAACCCGGAGTTAGTATGACTTCATGGGAAGGCAAGAGCCTCTTGCTACTGGACTGGTGCCTGGTGTGGTACAGAGGGCCTAGGAGAAGGTAGGAAGCTCAACTCCAGTCTGCCCCAGCAGAGATTCCAAGATGAGGCCTCACCACAAAGGCTGGTGGCAACACGTTCATTGGAGTCTACGAGAAGACTCAGAGACCCACCTGAGGGATGAGGGCTTCTCTCCACTCTGCTTTACTCACAAGCTAGCCACATCTGGCAACTGGACACAGTCTTAGGAAACCAGAGGGACTTAGGAATGAGCTCAGAATGATGACTCTGTAGTCTCCCACAAACCTGACTGATTCTTGGACTTTCCAGCTAGTTGAATTTGCATCCCTGCCCTGCACTCCTTAGGAACAGCACACTATGGAGCCGCCCACTCCTCACTCACCATGTTCTTCTGGGATCCTGGCAGGACTCTCATTTGTGATTCCCTGGAAGCCCTTGATTTCTGGCAGTTTCTATCTCAGAGCTAGTCTGCATCCTTGTCTCCCCTATCCCATCTTCTGGATAATTCAACAACTCCTTCCCTAGGGCCAAAAGCTGTAGTTCAACAAATGTCCCTGGAACAAAATCTCTAGACCCCATCACTACCAAGAACCGTTGTCCTATCTCCTTAGGGGACTGAACTCCAAAATAGGCTTTTATGAGAGAACTGGGACTGTCCACATCACTGTGCATACTTTAACACTTGGTACATGTGTGGGGTGAAGTTTGCATGCAGGAGTGAGGTGGGGAAATCATGGCTCATTGGAGGCCATTCCATTCCAAAGGCACTGTCTGGTTTGTGTGCAGGCCAGCCCTGCCCTACTCTGAGTTTGGTCTTCTGTATCTATCACCCTCCCTCACTGGGCACCTGCTTCTTCCATGGCTCACGGTGCCCATGAGATGTTGTCTGGGTTGATTCTCCATCACTGCTCCATCTCACTGCTGTTCATCTGAAGATGTGGCTAACCAGAGAATATTCATTAGACTAAAAGCCAAATCTGTGGTGTTGGGAAGTAGCTCAGTTGGCTAAATGCTTGTTGAACAAGCAGGAGGACCTGAGTTCAGATCCCCAGAACCCACATAAATCATAGCAAGTGAGGCAGAAGACAGACAAATCTGAGGGATTTCCTAGCAACGAGTATAAGTGAAGTGGCAAGTTCCAGGTTCAGTGAGAGAGCTTGACTCCAAAAATATGGTGGAGAGGAATAGAGGAAAATACCGGATGTAAACCTCCAGTCCCTAAATATGCATATGCATGCATGGGTGAGTACCAACACATACACACACACACACACACACACACACACACACACACACACACACACACACACACACATTAGCTAAGCAGTGGAGCTGCAGAGCAGAGAACTCAGGTCGAGTTCTGGGTTCAGCTCTGTGACTTACTTGGTTTGCAGCTTTCCTGGAAGTATTAAAGGTACTACTATTCAACAGCTCTGACTCACTACACCTCATATTCAGTGACCAGAGTCACCACCGTTGAGTGCCTCACTAGGCATTACATGAGCTATAGTGAACTAAAGGGTTTGACTCAATCCACAAATGCAGACATGCATGAAGCCTGTAGATGTACCTTCATTCCTGTCTATGCTCATGTAAATGCCTTAATTTCACAGCTTGATAATGACAATGGTGTAATCAATGAGCAATTGGTTGGTCTGTCTCCAATCTTCCTGTGTTCAAATCACATGCCCACCTTATAGCAACCACATGACCTGTGAATGTCACATAATCCTACATACAAAAGCTCACCTTATGCTCACTGGGACAAACATTCACTCCTGAGTCACTGTTCCCACATTCCAAATCTCAGCTTTGCAAACTGTGGCATGATGAGAACAAGGGCAACCTCACACTTCACATGTATGATGGATCCCTGTGTATATTCACGCATAGATATAATTTTAAAATGTGAGTTAAATGATCACTTATGAAGCTTTTATTATGGGTTGCACACAGTCTCAGCAGGTACTAGGTAGATTTCATTTTTAAAAATTTAGGGTAATCCAGGTGTGGTGATGCATGCTTATAAAGTAAGTTCGTGGCCAACCTGGTCTGCATGAGACCCTGTCTCAATTTCAATAACAAAGTAAAAAACTTAGAACAAGCCGGGCATGGTGTCATATACCTGTAATTCTATCACTTTGAAGGAGTAGGCAGAAGGTTCAGGAGTTCAAAGTCACCCTCACCTACATAGGAAGCTTGGGATCAGCTTCTTATGTAAGATCCTGTCTCAAACAAGAACAAACAGAGATTTAATGTGAAGACCACAGATGAGAGGACAGAGCCCTGGGTACTGTCCTCTGTGCATGAAGCCATACTGTTTGGAGCCCGCCATTCCTGTTCAACAGATGCATTAGGCTCCAGTGGTCCAGTCATGAACACACCGTGTACAGACATGTCTTAGTCAGGGTTTCTACTGCTGTGAAGACACACCACGACCACGGCAACTCTTACATAAGAAAACATCTAAATGAAGTGGTGGCTTACAGTTTCAGAGGTTTAGTCTATTATCATTCATTATCATCATGGAGGCGGGTCATGGCAGTATGCAGGCAGACATGGTGCTGGCTACATCTTGATGTAGTTACTGGAAGTGTGCCCTGGAGAGATGTAGCTCCTCCTCTTCCTTCTCTTCCTCTTCTTTTTTCTTTCTCCCTCCTCTCCCTGCCTTCTGTGTCCCTCCCTCCCTCCTTCCTGGCCACCATGAGGTAAGCAGCCTCTGCCTCACACCTCCTGCTGCCACCAGGAAATTCTGCCTCACCTCAAGCCAGTAGCAATGGATCCAGCTCCCCATGGGCTGAAGCCTCTGAAGCTGGAGTCATAATGAACCCTTTCTCTTTTGAAAATAATTTCTCTCAGGCATTTGTCCCAGAGTCAAAAACTCACCTAGTACACAAAGGTGCTGGCTACATTGTGATGGACTGTAACACTGAGCTAAACATAAACAAACAAGACCTCAAAGTCTGCCCCCACAGGGACACACTTCTTCAACAAGGCCACACACCCCAATCATGTCACTCCCTGTGAGCTTATGGGGGCCAATTACATTCAAACTATCACAAGGCAACACTATTTCAGCCAGTTGGTGCTGTCTGTAGACACAGGAACACCAACATCCCATGACACTTGAGGACTGTGTGTTCTTAGAAGCCCTGGCCTCTGATTCTGTGAGGCATCAGAATCATTTAGACTAGCGTTCATCTTCACCGAACCTTTCCATTGCATTCCTCAGTGGCAGAGACAGACCACATGTGATTGGTTCCCACTTCACCTCAGCTTCCTGGGTGTGCTTTCTCGCTCTCTGCTTTACCTCTGTGGGGTCTCATCTCCTTCAGAGTCCACATTTTCTAATCCCCTGTGCCTAGTGGCCTTTCCCAACACGAGTGCAGGCATGCAGCACGGGCTGGGTGGTCTTCTGTATTCTTCTTCCTCATTACCTGATACTTGTTTGTGGAAGGAACATGGCAAGCTGGTGACCTGGGTGTGCCTGCACAGAAGTAAGTCTCTGGTCATCAAAAGGAAAGACAGAGAGCCAGGGCCTGCAGAGATGAATCTCTATGTCAAACATTCCTCTAGTAATTCACAACATCTGTCACAAAAACTGTGGCCAAAGGTGTCCATTGAGAGAACTGGACAAAAGGGAGCTGTAGAGAACATCAAAACGCTATCGCTGAGTTCTGGTCCAGCACAGCCTTAGGCAGGGGATACTCACCTTAGGCCCTCCAAGGACTATGAGGCTGTGTCTAGTCCTACTTTGTAGATAGGTAAACTGAGGCCCTAAGAATTTAGCAGCCCAGATAAAAGTCACAAAGCAGTGCTGGAAGAGGTGAAATGGATACAGATCTGTCCAGTTTCCTGTATTAACTTCTGATGGATTTGGTAAGTGTTGAATGACCTATGGACTAGATATCACACCTGTGGGAGATCATGGAGCTTTTTACTGTGACCAACAGACCTGTCCCTTGATGGACTTGCAGCCTAACTGAACAGTCAATGAGTAAGCTGAGGGCCACAACAAGAATGGAACAGTATAGAAGACATGTGACCCAACACGGACAGCCAATGTGAGCATATAGAGACCAATGTAGCCGCTAGCAGTGCTGTGTAACAAATAAACCCAAAGCTTGCAGGCCTAAGACAATGGCTATTTAGCCAACTACTATTGGGTAGCTTGGGTTGAGTGACTGGACATTTCTGCAAGCCCAGGCTGCACTTGCCTGTACTTGAGTCCTAGTTAGCTGATGTTCGTCAGACCTGGCTAGTTCACGAGGCCCTCATTTGGAATGACAAAGCTTCGCTCCCAAATTGATCTGTGCTCTCTAGCAGGTTGGTCTGAGGCCCTCTGCACACAAGTCACCAAACTCTCAGGAGTCTACCATGTAAGCTACCGTGTAAGCCTTCCGTAGTTTTTATTGTTAAGCTTTTGTTTCTTACTACGCGGGCTGCTGTTTCTGTCATCGAAGCTCCATGACCGTCTCGTGGGCCAGCATGGGAGAGAACGTGGCAGAGGCCTGTGCACACAAGCATTGATAAGCTGGGCACACTGTTACCAACTGTCCTTCGTGTGGTAGGTGAGCTTTCGACTCTCGGACGAGTGCCTGAAAGAAACTATTTTCAGAAGAGAAAGGGTGCATCGTGACTCCAGCTTCAGAGGCTTCAGCCCATGGGGAGCTGGATCCATTGCTTCTGGCGTGAGGTGGGGCAGAATTTCCTGGGGGCAGCAGGAGGTGTGTGGCAGAGGCCACTTACCTCATGGTGGCCAGGAAGGAAGCAGGAAGGGAGACAGGAGGGAGGGAACCCGGGGGGCGGGGGAATGAAGAGAAAGAGAAGAAGGAAGGGGAGGGGCTAGTGGCAGGTACATCTCTCCAGGTCACACTTCCAGAGACCTCTGTCTTCCCACTAGGTGACATCTCCCTATGTCATATTGGTGCGCCAATATGCTCATCATCCACCCACCCCTCACTAGCACCACCAGCTATGGTCCAAACCTTCACATCTGAGCTGCGTGGGTGATGCCTTATATCCCAGCCGTACCTCATAGTAACAACTGTATTGACGCAGTGTGGAGAGCTAACATCTAGGCAGAGGGGAGTGACAGGGCAGCCAGAGTGATGTCTCACCTGGGAGGTGAGCTGTAACATTCAGGGCACACTGCAGGAATCTTTGCTCTTATAATGTTCCTGCTTCCCACTGGGTGGTACATAGGGCTCTCAGAAGAAAAGAGACCAGGCAGGCAGGCAAGCCACCCAGGACGGAGCAAACACAGTCTGGGAAGCACACTGACAAACCCAAAGGGAATCCGGAGTCCACACCATAGCAGGTCTCTGGTGTCGGCCCAAGACTTGCGGTGGCCTGTGTCTGAAGCCATGCGACACTGACGGATTGCATTCTGCAGATTACAAATAAAGATTAAATTAAGGGTAAAGGTAAGAATGACAGCTAGAGAAAAGAGTGGGGTGGGGGAAGGAGTCTTAATTTTTCTCAGTCACTTGGCAAGTGTGAACTGCAAATGCTCTTTTTTTTTTTTTTTTTTAAGTTAAAACAACCATGCCCTCCACCTCCTACCACCCTAAGCCTGGATCTGGTTATTAGCTCAAGTTCAGCTCATGGCAAGGTATTTTCTACTTGGGCAGCTGGGAACAATGACCCCTTTATTCAGTGAGGAAACGCTGAGTGTAGTTGCTGAACCTCCTGGCTCGTGGATATAGGGTCACAGCCATGGCCAAATGAATTCTTTTTCCAAGGCCAGGGCCCCACCACTCCCATTTTGGGTGAGTTTTCTAAGACATGGAAAACCAAACCACAAGAGCAATCCTGGGAGGCTGGAGCCAGATGTTAGGTCCTGAGTAGGCTAAGCACGGCTGCTGTCCCCAGATCCTGGCCATGCTAAGTCACGGTGCTGTCGGGAGCAATCAGACTGAAGGGAGAAGGCACAGCTCAGAAGCCAGGGAAAGAGGTGTCCAGAAGAAAGGTGGTGTGGTGAGGGGTCTGCAACTGGAATTTGAAGCCCGGGGGGGGGGGCTGGCTTGCCATGACACCCCAAGCTTCTTGCAGTGCCTCTTTGAGCATTAGAGACTAGAAAGATCATTGGACAGTCAGCATTCATTCCCCAACTCCTCACAGAGCAACAAATGGGGTACCACCATGGGAGGGAGTCAGTAGCATGAAGAAGACCC